TTTGTCTGTACTTTCGCCCATTTTTATGTTGTACTACGTTACACACCACATAAATCAATTTGAGTTCATTTAACAACTTGATATGGTTTAAGGCAAGTGTTCTTATGATGTAGACATGCAGTTAGCACTATGCTAATTGGTGAGCAGAAGCTTCCACTACTTCTTACCTATTAGGGCTACAAAAACAAATATTTTGATATTTACCAAGCGCTATTTTACCACCACATAGGAAATATGTGCTTTTTTTTAAACCTGCCCATAATTTCGAGCTACAGTAACTAATAAGCAATAGCTACAAATAAGTGATATAAAAATATATACACTGATAAGCTGTAACATTAAAACCACCTCCTTGTTTCTACACTCATTGTCCATTTTATCAGCTCCACTTACTATATAGTTTCACTCTGTAGTTCTACAGTTATAGACTGTAGTTCATCTGTTTCTCTGCGTACTTGCTACCCTGTTCTTCAATGGTCAGGACCCCCACAGGACCACCAGAGACCAGCCATTATTTGGGTGGTGGACCTTAAAAGACATTATTCCACCCAGTAATACTTCAGAATGAGTTGATGTAGCTTCTTCATGGCTCAAGATGGTGACTTTGATCACAAATGAAGAACGAATTCCCCAGGAATAGATAGAGATGTTGATTAGTTTGGTTTAAACATGGCTGAGGAGAGCACTTGAAGGTAGATAGGCTTTTTGTGTGCTAACCCTTTGCACCAGATTTACTTATGCAACCAGGACCCAGTCGTTCCCCCCAAAAAAAACATACGAGACTGGCTGTGAGCCTAGATGCACAGTTTATGCAGCATGTACATGAAAAAAATGCAAAGTCTGTTTCTCTCACTCATACAGGGAGGATTGTGTGAAAAAATGGGTGATGATATTGGATGCACCACTGTTGACAGATTCTCTTCCATTTACTAGTTTCAACAGGCATTTTTGCATGGAATCGTCTGCCTCTTACAACCAGGTGTAAAAAGAGGTAGCGTCTTAAAGGCGTGTTGCAGCAGATGCAGCAGCTAGATGGAGAAACAGGCCTTAAAGACATGCTGAAAGAATATTTAAAAGCAGAATAACAATATTTCATCTCTTAGGATTGCTCACTGGCTCCTTTGGCATTGACCTTGACTGTTTCTAATTTCCACCTTGCTGAATTCAACTGTAGAGCCAACATAGAAATTCACCCTAGTGAATTATTTTGGTGGGAAAATAAAGCACTGAGCCACAAGAGACTGTATGGCCTCAAGTGGCTTATTGCTTTATTTTGGCAACACTTTGCCCATAAGGCTACATGACCTACATAAGCCGTTCATGATAACTGATGTAAACCTACATGAACATTCATAAAGGTGAGTACCATAGGCTTCCTCTGTCATAAAGGCTGCTTTTATGGCAGGTTCATGTAACACTAAAGTCAGGTGACTTTTCTCTGAAATCTTGTGACACTTTTTGACTATTAATACATGAGATAAGTGGTGCATGAGAGCAGCATAACAGTCCATTCACTGCACAACAGTCCATTCACTGCACAGTAGTCCTTGTTGAGTTGGTGTCTTAACATAGAATTCAGTTGTTAGGAGGAGATCATAGGTGTGCATATACAACAGTTCTGATGGCACGATCTGATTGGTTGAGAAGCGATCACTGATAATGCCAAAAAGCAGTAACGTTTATCATTCCGCTGAGCACTGGTTGCTTTATGCTGCAGCTAACCGTTGTTAAGTTTCCACTTTGGCACATACAAAAAAGAAATTTATGCATAAGACGACTTTAATAAGATAACATTTGGCTTACAGGCAGTTTAGTCGGATTCTGAACAGCATCATCACAGTATCATCATCACAGTACGTCATTTTTTTTAGACTAGAATTAGCTAAAAGCCTTCCGAATACAATGTGGCAGACTAGAGGGGCTGTGAAAAGCTTTACAACTGACTGGAAGCAAACAGAATTCAGGCTAGTCTAGCAAATATTGGAAAAACTGAGCTGAATTCTTTGTTGTGACAGTTTTATGGCTTTAAAGAAATGATGCTATTTTGCTGGAAGGAATTGCCAATATTAAGTCACATTTGATATGCGGTGTTTGAGGTTTCTTTGCTTTGCCTTTTTCTTTGTTTTGCAGTCCTGTTGTATAAAAGCAATAGAGCACCCGGGGTGATATCATGAGTAACATCTCAACTGTGATGATCTACAGTTCTCCTTTGGCTCGTTCCTGCAACAGGATCGCAACCGTGATGTTATTTGCAATAACACACCCGTCGTGTTCTATTGCTTACTTTTACAACAGCTCCCGACGCAGCTCATCAAATCACATTTTAGGACCTGAGCTCTCCGTTTTATAAACATATATTAACACTGCTGTCTCTTCATCACCAAAATTGTGTTCCTCTTTTGTCCCAAGCTTGTTGACAGCTCCCAAGCTAAACTCTGCCCTCAAACATATGGTGCACTCAGTTGTGGTATGCAAAACTTGTAGAGCCTCTCTGATGGTTGAAGGGTCAGTGTACGTTTCACTGAAAGTTTTTGAGACAGTGATTTGTGGGTCAAGGAGAAAAGCTTTCTGTCACAGGAGGTGGGGGGGGGGATTGAGTGGTCGTCTCTAGCAAGCTTGTCTAAAACTTGAGCAGGTATTATGGATTATAGAGGCTGTATCTCTGCTTTATTGCACTCAGTCACTCTGCAAAATAACACTTTCAATCAAGCCAAGTGTCATGGTGGAGCTTCTTCACACACATAAACACAGCCTTCCTCTAACACAGCCCACCTGGTGTGTGTGTGTGTGTGTGTGTGTGTGTGTGTGTGTGTGTGTGTGTGTGTGTGTGTGTTTATCTGTGCCAAGGTGTGTATTTCTGCGACCCTCTTTATTATGAACTGCCAAGAGGCACAACATCCAAGACCACACTCATGCTCACACTAGATAGGGGACGATTACTGGTTTTAATGATATGCCACTGACTGAATATGTATGCTCATTCCAAATTTGATACCTTAACACATTCCAGCTAAGTTGACACAGGAGCCCTGCGTTACCTTTACCTCTTAACAAATAATAATAACACTTAATAATAATTTAGAGACTGGTATTCTGGTTTTCTTCTGTTCTACAAGTCTTCATTTACGCAAACAGACAGGGACTTCACTATCGTATTTTTGTGCTTCATAATGCGCCTCAGTGAGAGACAGATCTGTGCTAGCCAGTCTGGACGTTCAAGTACCCCCACTCTCAGATTACACAGCCATTCTGTTGTAACACATGCAGAATGTGGCTTGGCATTGTTATGCTAAAAGGAGAATGGACGTCCCTGAAAAAGACGGCATCTAAAAGGCAGCACATATTGCTCCAAAAAAGTGTAATTGTGCCATCACAGATGTGGAAGTTACTGATGCCATAGGCACTAATACACAACCCTGGCCTTTGAACTTCACGCTGGTAACAGTCTGGATGGTCTTCATGTTCTTTTGGCGACATCCATTTTTCCATAAACAGTCTAGGCTGGGTTTCCCTGAAAGCATCTTAGCATAGATCATCTCAACAAAGACCGACCTGGTGAGATGATCCTAACTCTAAGGTGTTTTTGGGAACCTGGCCCTGAAAGGTTGGACACAAGACACGTTTCTACTGTGTGTCAACCTATTTCAGATGAGCTTGAGCCCAGAGAAGACGGCAGTGTTTCTGGGACAAGGGCATCCAGTTGTGGTTTTTAGCTTTGCCCCTTTTTGCACAGAGATTTCTCTGGATTCCCTGAATCAACTCAACCTTCCTCATAAAGGACTAGGTCTTTCCTAGATGTTCCTTTTATACCCAAGCATATAACCAAGCATTTCACAGTGTTCCTAGTCTCAAAGACCAACAGTGGTCTCTATGAACACTCTTTCAGTGTGCTTACAATCGTCAGATTCCTCCGCTCGGGGAAGCGGTCCGAAGTGCAGTCAGCATTACAAAATGTTCTTCCACATTCCGTGCACTTTTCCACCAGAGGTCTCCAAATCCGCAAACGTTACATAGTGTAGCTTTAATTAGCTTTAAAAAGAGAAAACAAACCATTAGCAGCCATGTGCTTTGATATGAGAGATGATATTAATGTTCATATGTATGTTTTATCATTTTTTTTATTTATTTATGTATTTCTTTTTGGTCTAGAAGCTATCCTAGATGGACTAAATATATCTATAATATATCAATGATTTTTTATGAAAATATCTATATTTATTAATAATTTTTCATGGTTAATTGATTTTTCAAAATAGCTTACTATCCTAACAGTAAAAGAATACCTTGATAATATTCTAAACTGACCATTTTGGTCACTGATCTCGGGGAAATTTTTGGTTCTTCCCATTGCTAGCACACACACTGTAAATGGAGTGCTATTTGGTTGGAATGAGCATGCTAATGTATCACGGGGGCATTCAACACCGCATGCATGATGATATAGAGCATCACTGATTTCCCCCACCAGTCACAGATACAAACACATATTTCAAATTTAAACCGTACAGCAATCTAAAGCTCCGTCTCTGCTTTCTCAGTGCCGTATTTCTGGCCACCCTGACAACACCAGGGCCTTTTAGAGCCCGTATAAAACAGGAGAGCATTTTCTCATTCCTCTTTATTGTCCAATTTCATGACTTCTGTATTACTCCTCATTTTCTTTTTTCCTTTAATAGTCGGTGGACCAGACTGCTGCAGTGCTCTGCCCCAGAGTTCTCATTGAGAGAATATTGATGAAGCAGACTCAGCCATTACTGTACTTCAGTGGCGTTAAAGGAGGCTCACCCATGATGAAATATTAACTCAGGCTACAAATTTGCCCATTACAACCGTGCTTGTTAAAATACTCAGCCCCGCTTCAACGTTAACGCCTCATCTTCCCAGCCCTCGCCCATGTAAATTTGATTTGGGGTCACAGTCTGACAGCGGCAAAGTCCGCTTGGTGTAATTAAGCGCATTTTTTTTCTTTCGATGTCTCAAACTTTTATGCTCCGTTGCAGATCCAGAATGCTGATGATGTGCTCATAACTCCCTTGGAGAAGTTTCGCAAGGAGCAGATCGGAGCAGCTAAAGTAAGTGTTAATTCTCTCTTTATAAAACTTGCATTTCTCTTACGGCTGAACAGCGCACACCCACAAGTGGAAGGGATACTGAAAATGTTCAAGACGTGCTTTTACTTCAGGGGAAATCTAAATGAGAAAAACTAAGTAAGAAAAACTACCTAACTTTCATTCAACAGCTTGGATGAAAGTGCTAAAAGTGCTTGGTATTTCATTTTGGCTGGCAGAATGAATAGGTTAATTTTATTAAATGTGTATTTAAGCATAGATCTGTAGGTCACTAATCTGTGGGTAGCTAAAGAAATGCAGATCTGAATGGAAAATTAGCACATAAAGCCCCCAATACATTCAATGTTCTAATTTGTGAACTTAGCTACTTTAAGGTGCGCCCATTGCTGACACCGGCGTTTAATCGCACTAACACAGCTTCTGTAACAAGCCAAACGACAAGTTTCACCTAGAGGGGTATAAAGCCCCCCAGCTTTGGACTCTGGAGTAGTGGGGGTTCTCTGGAGTGATGGAGCTCCACCCAGTAACTTTGGGATGAGTTGGAGTGGTGTTACCGCAGCAAATGGGGGCAACCTCCCTATTAATACCCCTGATTTCAGTATAGCATTGACCAATAGAATGGGACACTTTGCCAAGGCAAATGAGCCCAAGGTCACCAGGCCAAACAACAAGCTTCAACTAGGGAAAGTATAAAGCCCCCCAGCTTCAGAATGTGGAGTAGTGGGGGTTCTCTGGAGTGATGGAGCTCAACCCAATACCTTTGGGATGAGTTGGAGTGGTGTTACTGTAGCAAAGGGGAACAACCTCCCTATTAATAGCCATCAGTAGGTTCATTAAAAGCGCGCCACACAGCTTCTGTAATCTCCATAGAATTGCATTGACCGTTAGAATGGGACACTTTGCCATGGGAAATGAGCCTAAGCTCACCACACCAAATGGCAAGCTTAAGCTAGAGGGGTATAAAGCCCCCCCAGCTTTGGGCTGTGGAGTAGTTGGGGTTCTCTGGATTGATAGCGCTCAACCCAATAACTTTGGGATGACTTGGAGTGGCATTTGTGCAGCAAATGCGGGGCAACCTCCCTATTAATACCCTTGATTTCAGTGGAAACAGCAAAAAACTGTAAGTAAGACTGTGTTAACATTACAGGCCTCTTGCATGCAGCCTCAGTCTTAGACGCCCCAGGGCACATGTAAGTGTGTGATAACTATAGTAAGTAAAGTAGCCACAGCTGTCTGGTTTGTGTCAGTTTCATTCTGTTTGGCTATCCAAATGCAGTGGATTTGTCTGTCTGATAGAAAAAAAAGTACTTTTGCAAGTAGATGCATGTTCTGCACACCGTGACTGAGCCTTTCGGAGCAAAACACTAGCAGGATTGAAAAGATTGCCTGCCCCTACAAATCACACAGAAATGATGGTTTGTAATTATTATTAATGATCATTATTTTTTTCATGTCAGTCAAACCATCTTTTCCTGTGAAAGTAGGCTGTTCTTGGCCTTGTGTGAACACAAAAACCTGATGAGATTTGACACACTCAGAAGTCCTAGACTGGATACCCATCTTATACTAGGCATCTATACTGGGCAGGCATATGTCACTGTGTTCATCATCCAGTGGACAGTGCGTCGACTGTTGGGCAAAATACTCTGTAATGGGAAAAATGGCTGAATACTGAAGATACTTTTTGAAATGTATTCAGTAATGCATTCCATTACCATACATGAAAAGTGCATTTCGATACATTTACAACACATCTTGGGAAGGCACATGGGGAAAACCTTCGTTTTTGAGATTGTGTTTCTCACTTTACTGATTGGCAATTTTCTTCATGTAATTATTCTCTCAATATGTTTCACTTCAGTACACTGCTGCTCCCACAATCCCCTGGGCAGGAGTCCAATATAACACTCATGTTAACCTTTTCACTCCAGACATGTCCACTGCTGAGGATTGTTAGATTGATAAGAGCTCAGTAACACTGAGATTGATAACAGATCATAGCATTGATTTATCAGTCTACTCAGGCTTTAGCAGAGCTCAGTAACACTGAGATTAATAACTGACCACATTGATTTATCAGTCTACTCAGGCTTTAGCAGAGCTTAGTAACACTGGGATTAATAACTGATCATCACATTGATTTATCAGTCTACTCAGGCTTTAGCAGAGCTCAGTAACACTGAGATTAATAACTGATCATCACATTGATTTATCAGTCTACTCAGGCTTTAGCAGAGCTCAGTAACACTGAGATTAATAACTGATCACATTGATTTATCAGTCTACTCAGGCTTTAGCAGAGCTCAGTAACACTGAGATTAATAACTGATCACATTGATTTATCAGTCTACTCAGGCTTTAGCAGAGCTCAGTAACACTGAGATTAATAACTGATCACATTGATTCATCAGTCTACTCAGGCTTTAGCAGAGCTCAGTAACACTGAGATTAATAACTGATCACATTGATTCATCAGTCTACTCAGGCTTTAGCAGAGCTCAGTAACACTGAGATTAATAACTGATCATCATATTGATTTATCAGTCTACTCAGGCTTTAGCAGAGCTCAGTAACACTGAGATTAATAACTGATCACATTGATTTATCAGTCTGCTCAGGCTTTAGCAGAGCTCAGTAACACTGAGATTAATAACTGATCATCATATTGATTTATCAGTCTTCTCAGGCTTTAGCAGAGCTCAGTAACACTGAGATTAATAACTGCACTAATTTGTCTGCGTTAAATTAATTTTACCGTATGTTTCACCCTAAATAAAAGTGTTTTTTCTCTGTAAATGTAGTCCAGGTAGATTTAGTCCTAATTTACACATTATATAAATGTCTGTATTGCATTAGTGTATATGTACATAAAAAATTGGACATCAGCATTGGCCTACAATTCGCAATTGGTGCACCCGTACTTACTTTCAGAGCAGTTCAAAACCCTTAAAAAACAAGAATATCAAGCATCCAGGTAGAGCAATCAGATTTGAATGAAAATGCTGAAGTGCTAAGTGAGTTGAGTGATAAGGCTTGTAATGTGAATGTAGCCTGTAAGTGTAAGTCATCCATTCCTTCTCACCATTGTGCTCATCTCAGCCCAGCTCACAGTAGGAGTAGACAGCGAAGAGGCTCATATTCAGGCTTGTTCACCGCTGAAGCAATACAGCTACTTAATATCACAGAAAAGCCCAGAAGGATGTTGAAAATTGAGTTGAAATGGCAAGAAGTCAACAGCGTAATTGTTTTTCAAGTGATTTTGAGAGGCTAATTGTTCAATAGCTGTCTGAAAAAGAGGTTTTCAGTGTGGTGAGTGAAGATGGAACAGTTATTAGTATTGAAATATGGATTGCCTAGTAGGAGAGTTTTTTTTTTTGTATGATCCCAGCAATAACACTGAAAAGGGAATTCCACCAATTTCTTCAGAATTTCTGCACATTTAAATCTTTAAGAGGTAAACAGTCATTAGAGTGGTTTGATGAGCCATTCTAGAGAAACCTAATGCATCATATTTGTTCACAGTTGTGGTGATAGGAACCAGACGTCTGAAGCGTTTAATGCTCCTAAAAGCTACATAAAAAGTTATTACATTAGATATTACCCCAATACAACCCCAACCATTATGTTTTGTTTTTTGCACAGGGTAAGAAATTTTGCCCCTTCTTACATGCTCTGTCCAAGCCCACCAGCTGTTCCCACCCAGTTTGTGTACTGTAGTGTGAGAGACGCACAGACACATTGTTGTTTGGTTGAGCCGACTGCTGTGGCTCTACAGTGCTTTCAGTATCTGCCCCGGTCACCTGCTCATATTAGGTGTCATTTTCTCACTGTGCCTTATTACACAGCTGTCCACCTGACAGCCGTCCAGCCTGTCTTTAGTCTGGCTGTAATGTTACAGGTCAGTGCTGATGGCTGAGACACACAGACCATGTATTCCTTCCCAGACTTGCTGTGCTAAATGGGCTCGCCATGTCTGTTTCCTTCATAACGTGACAAATCCAGACCACAACAGGCTGCAGCTGCTAAAGAGCCGATAAGGGCCTGAGCAAAAGTTTTTATACCATGCAAAAATGTTTGCCTGGTTGCATCATTATTGCATGTGTACTCTCAGCATGGAAATCGAACTCATTAAGCAAAGTTGAGGTTCTAAGTCTGTTTTTTTTCCCCCATCTCTTCACTGCATGCATATAAATGAGGTAAGATGAGTGCCCTTATGTAAAGGGTAAGCTATTGTTTTAGCAGGAGTTTGCTGACCTGTATTGTTATTGTTGTTATTAAGTATTTGTGTATTTAAAGATAATGAGCCCTCAGCCCCCTAAGTGCTGGTTTTAGATGAGCAAACACACACACACACACACAAACTAGAACATACCTTCCTAATTTGTCAGGAAAAGTAGTACAATTGATAGAAAATGTCATAGGAATAAAGTACCATAAAAAGTATCCCAATGACAACCAGAGTAAACACAAAACATACAGTTTTCAAATGATCACTTCGTTTTTTGAAGGGGAAAAAAGTTATCCAACAACCTGTATCGGAACATAATTGCTCCTTCACCTAAAAAACTCCTCACGGGGGTTCAGCGAAGCAGCGTCACACACATCATTTGTCATTAATTGTCGACTGTTGGGGTTGCTGCTTCATTTGAACTCGTGATGACAGGGCAAAGAATTATGCTTATGAAAATCACCTCATTGATGATGCCCAGCGGGTGCGACGGCGGCTGCAGGGTCAGACTCCCACTTCGGTTGCAGCATCTCGCTCTCATTTAGCTACGTTTCTGTTACCGTAACTGTAACTTTAACCTTTATTATTGCTTTTGTTAGTCTGCTGCTTATTGACTTATCCATAGTTCTCCAGCGAACACTGTCGAGCAAAGTCTGCCAAAGGTGTTGTCCAGTGCTAATTCTACTGATATTGCCTGCATTAGAGGTGAATTTTGCTTGTAAGTGGTATTCCAGACTCGACGTACTGAGGTGATAAAATCACTGTGGCAGTGGCT